CTTTTGGCAAGCCCCTCCTCCCCACTCGGGATCTTGGCTTCCCCAAGGAACCGTAGGGGGCGTGGGACGAGATGATTCCCAAGGCCCTTCCCAGTGCGGACAGCGGAGGCGGAGGAGGCCTCCTCGTGGCCCCGGTGGAGGCCGGGTCTGGGGAGTGAAGATTGGGCTGAGAATCAGGGAACCTGCTGAATAAAGGCAAAACGTTAAGCGAGTCGTGAGACTGATGTTCAGGAAGGGGGCGGGGCGGGTTTGCGGGTGTGTTTTGCGTGGGTTTTGGAGTATGGGTGCAAGGTTGACTGTGTGACTCCCTGGGCGAGCACTTTCCCTCTCTGGACTGCAGGTGCACCCCTCGGTGATCAAAATATTTTTGAAATAGTTGTAAAGCTCATGGCAATGTTCCCCGCACATAGAAGTGCTCAATGGAGGCAAGCTGCTATAACCACTACCGAATTAGTACCTACTCACACTACTCATTTCCTCCCCGACCCCCGGGTCGGTCCACACTACAGCGGGAAGAAAGAATAGAGAGTTTAGCCCTAACCGGTTTAGCTCAGCGGATAGAGCGTCGGCCTGCAGACTCAAGGGTCCCAGGTTCGATTCCGCTCAAGGGCATGTACCTTGGTTGCAGGCACATCCCCAGTGGGGAGTGTGCAGGAGGCAGCTGACGGATGTTTCTAACTCTCTATCCCTCTCCCTTCCTCTCTGTAAAAAATCAATAAAATGTATTTTAAAAAAAAGAATAGAGAGTTTAGGGGGTTCTGGGGAGGGCCTGCTTTAGAACTCTGGGGGCCACCCGTGCCAGAAAGGTCCCCATTCCTGGAGTTTTACTGCCTGCTTTTGGTTGCAAGGTATGAAGGCCTGGACCAGAATTGAGGATAATAAAGGCAAGGACCCTCCAAACAAGGATTTTGCCAACCTGTAGCCTCACATCCTGCCCTTTCCCTCAAAGACCACCAGGTCACCTATCTTCCTCACACATTTGCATCTTTAAGTCTTGGTTCACGGTCCGCCCTTTGCCTGGGTTACCCTTCCCTTTCTCTCCACCCATCCTTCTAAGATTATATATGTTGATTCTCCCTCAGGAATTCCTGAATTCTCCAGTCGGCCTCACCTCTGAGCTCCCAAGTACAGCCCTATATTTTGAGCCTCGATTTGTCACCTTGTGTGGGACCCGCTGATAGTCTGACTTCTCTTGTTAGTCTGTGGCCTCCTAGTACAAGGACAAAGCACATAGTAGGGCCACAGACAACGTTTGCCAAATTAGAAGAGGCTGGGCAGAGCGATGGAGCCTGTCCTCGGGGGTTCCCCAGCTTCTTGGAAAGTTGTACCCTAAATCTAACACAATCTATCCTGATACCCTGGCTGTCCCTGGTCATTTTCTCCCTGTATGTTTGTGGGATAAGGAAGGATTCCTCCAGCCGGACCCCCACCCTGAGGCTGCCCACCAAAAAGCAGCCTTCCCGACTGTCCAGACAAAAAAGCACGCGGGCAAACGGGCTGTGGGACCAGGGTTTTTATGTTGGAAAGGAGGAGTGGGCGCCCAGTTCGGCCGTCCGGCTAGTCACCTTTGGGCGCAGCCTTCGCCCTCATCTCGGCCAGTTTGTGGGTAAGGAAGCCCCACTTGAAGTCGGCCGCCGCGTCGGTCCCCCGCGGTTCGGGCTGCTCGGCGGCC